TTAGTTCCACATATGGACGTGGCACAAACCGGGTTTTTGACGGTGAAAAGACTGAAATTGGGTCGTTCAGGCTGCCATGAAAAGCAGGTAAATGGGTCGCATGTGCCTGCTGTGTGAAGTTTAGTTTTCAGTACAGCAGTGACACAAGTCTGACGTGAAAACAATAAACTCTCTACATATATGAACCAACTTCCAGAAAAGTGCAAAACAGGAGAAACGCTGATCTCCTTTGAACCCAGGCTAAATCCCCATGTTTAACATTACCTTTAATTTATAATAACTGGAGCATTGATCAATATATTTGATGCATATTTGACAAAATGTAATGTTTTCTGCTCGTTTCATAATTGGTTATTGTGCTGGGTTTTCATCTTGAACTGCCTTGTTAAATTAATAAACTTAATTAGACTTAAACAGAGCTGAAGAGTTAATTTTGTGACCTGCGTGGGTTAATTTTATTGTTTAGACTTGAAAAAAGCTAAAATTTCATCACAAATTCAGTTTGTAGCATTTTTCTGTTGTTTTGTGGAATAATTCCCTCAACAGAATGAGACTTTTAGAGTTGGAAAAATCTTCTTCATCTTCTTCAAAAATTAACATTACTAGAAAAAAGGTATATGTTTCTTTTCATTTTAAACCCTAAAGACAGAAATAAAATTGTGGTTCTTTGAAAATGTCCTAGAATGAGTATTTTAAACGTCGTGTAACATTAGCAGCCCTGGCTGAGTTTTATTTAGCTGCACTGAGGGTAAAAATGTCTCTCTGGGTTGTGCAGGATGCAGACGCCTGACGTCTGCCTGCTTGGTGTTTTTATTTTGCAGTTGGTGCAGATGATGACCCTGGTTTGGTTGAATATCAAAGCTGTCCCGTCCTGGTCGTCTGTTTCTCCATAAATTACCCAGAAACCTGTGCAGTGGTCTCATAAAAACACCACAGAGGGATTTCCTGCAGCCGAAAAGCAAAAACACAGAAAAAGAGACGAACTTTGAGCGCAGCAGTCATTCTCACCTATACCGTGACGTCTTCACGTGAAATATTAAAACAAATTACAATTTTAATTGATTTATAGCAAACTCAGAGGAAAACGTCCGAGCTGTGGTTTGACCAACACTTTAGATTAGATTTAAAACATTTTAACTATTAAACAAGTTTATATGAAATTGTAAATTATGTATGTAGATTAATGAAAAATCCTTTTAAATATACTAAATATATTTTGTGCTGGAATCTGATTAGAAAATATAAAGCTAGAAGAAATGCTAGATGTTTTGAAATTTTAATTCTAATATTAATTTATAGAAAAATGTGGTTAAATTCAGAAAATTTTATTCAGTAGTTTTTAAACTCCTTAATATTTTACTAATTGAAACTTACATAATAATAATTTCTACTCAAACATATTGATGAAAATCCATCCACATATTACTTATGGTTAATTTCTGTTTTTACACCGATAGTTTGTGCGCTAATAATCATGGGTAATTAAAACCGCTTCATCCTTTCTTCCTCTGTCTCATTTCTTTCTTTCTTTCTTTCTTTCTTTCTTTCTTTCTTTCTTTCTTTCTTTCTTTCTTTCTTTCTTTCTTTCTTTCTTTCTCTCTTTCTTTCTTTCTTTCTTTCTTTCTTTCTTCTGTTTTGTATTTGATCATATAATTTTTGTTTCCTGGACAGCAGCAGGAAAATTGACAACATTTATTTGCAACTTTGACTTCCTGGTTGTAAATGATAGTAAACTAACTGATGGCGCACTGATTGATTTTGGGCTTTAAATACATTTTTAAAATTACATCTATGACGTGAACAATGGAGGACCGTCAAGAGTCCCAGAAGCAGAAAAAGAAGAAGAAAAGGGATTGCGTCCTCAACTCCCTGAAAACCTGAAATGTTCCAGAAGCTGCTTGTTAAAGTTTAAAATCAGAACAGAAAACATAAAGGTCAAGTATTATTTAAACGTGACTATATTGTTCTTAACCCCCTTATGAATGGTGACGCTCCAATTCAGGGTCATTGAACGCAGCAGGCCGCCGTGCGTACACCTAAACGCCTCATCTTCGCGCATTTAGACAGGGGATGCAGACAAATCCGACATGAAATAAAACTAATCCCGCATCTGCGCAGTTGACTTTCTGTCAGGCTGAGTTGATCATAAGTGCTGACTGCAGCCGATGTTAAAGTGGAAGTTGCTGCGTTTGGAAAACATAATCATGAGCGCGCATCGCGCAGCCTCCAGCGCCCCTCCCTGCGTTGTTAATAATAAAGAGAGAAACTGAATCCGAAGCTGCGATGTTTAATTCATTATTATGTAAGCTATTTGGAGAGTGATTGGACGGTAATTGCTCATTAGGCTTGTATATTTGTCGCTGCACCTTATGTCAGGGCCAGAGGAGCTGTGTAGGGAGGATTCTCTCCTTTCATGGATCCATTTCAGAGGCAATTTGTGAAACAGGACAGATCAGGTTAGACCTGACGCGGCTTTGTGATTGTGACAGGCCGGCCTGCAGGTGCCACCCTTCAATTGGATCCCCTAACTGATGGGATCAGTGGAATAAAACGCGAATCCGCTCCACGCATGTTGACTAAAGTTCCTAAAGCCAGCCTTTGAAAAGCCACTTCTCCCATCTTAAAGAGATTTCACCTCGATCAATTATTGACTTCGCGCTCTGATAGGAACCCTGTCTTCCGCACATATTCCTCCCTCGGCTACTATTCACATTAGCGGTGTCAGCGGACGTAATTATACCTACTAATTGCAGATTAGAGGTTTTGGGTCAGCGGGGTCACTCGATAGGGCCCGGCTACTCGTTTCTGGGCCGGATAATCATTTCACGTCGCGGGATAAATGTTTCATGCAGCGGGCCTTGCAGATCCAAAACGTCCAAACTTCAGTTCGGGTGTTTTATTCGGTTTTATGGGCAGTTTAGCTGCTGGCGGCGGGTCACCAAAGGGTTGACCCCCTACAGCCACAGCACGAGCGCATGTGACGTGTCACATCAGGACGCGCGCGCTGTGGTTTGAATTCTGACTCAATGATTTTCATGTCTGAATTTGCTAGAAATGTCTGGATATTATTATTATTTATTTCAAAAATAACCGCTGTTTATCAATAAAACTTATTTTATATAATGTTTTATTATTTTTATTTTATAAATGTTGTTTTTTGCTTAGAAAATGTAAAATAAGAAGAAAATGTTTATAAAACATTAAAGGTTTAGTTTTTCTTTTTATTATCATTTTGAAGGTAAAACTTATTGACGCCTTATTTAGAAAAACACAAAATAACTGTTTTCTGTTTCCCCCATTATTATTGTTTTAAAGATGTTTCATAGATTTAAACCAAATAAAGAAGAAAAGCAAATTATTGTGCTCAATTTTTCACTTAATGATCGTAACGCGGTTCCTCAATTTTTTTTTACAACTAAAATATTAAAAATGTCGCGTATAAGATACCATTTTGGTTATTTTTAGAGTTTTTCGTATGTTTCTGTGGAATTAAGGTTTATTTAACTTCCTATTTATATTTCTAAATAATTTAAAATATTGTATAGAATTTAAAAAGTTGTTTAGAAATTTCGAATTATTTTTTCGAATAAGTTGTTTGGATTTCTTTTTAATTGGGGCACGTTTGTAAAAAATATATTTTTCCAATTTCTCAGAAAAAAAAAACTATTTAATTGCCTTTTAACGACGTTTTTTTAAAAAACAAAAAATGCGTCTAAAATTTGCTCTATTTTTTCTTGTCAACTTCCGCCTAATTAAAAAAAAAAAATCCAGGTGAGACTCAAACGTGTTTAATCAAATTTTAGCAGCCTCTAATGAGGACTCCGTCCTGTGTGTCCAAACAGGCGCACAAAGGGTGATTTTTGGGGGGGTAAGGAGAGGGAGAGCTGTGCGCCAAATTTGTTTGCGGCGGATCAAGGCTCACCGCCTCCACTGCACTTTCTTTATCTTAATTCCAACTTGAAAAGATATAATTATCTAGTTTGAACAGGACTGCTATCAAATCCTTCTTTATAGGCAGGGTGGGGAAAAGCTCGAGTGGATTGTGAGGCTCTGAGCCGCTCCGTGTTGCCCGAGATAGGAGTAATGAAGTTGTGGAGTCCGGAGATACAAAGGGCATTAACCTCATTAGCATGAAACCTTTTCTTCTAACTATTGTGGGACCCTTTCAGTCCTCTAATCCCCCCTATTTCAAAGCTGGGTTTGTAATAAAGCTTTTAGTTTTTTCTATCTCTCTAAAGCTGATGGTATTCTCCCTCTCTGTGTCTCTTTCTAGATTTTTATTGCTGTTATAATCTGTTGGTCGATTATTAAGAATTCCCATCTATGTCTCTAAAACACTCGTTTCTATTCATAAAACAATTAAACATGAAAAATTTAGTTTTTCTGGAAAGTCAGAAAAAAAAATCTAACAATCCTTGCTGAATTTTTTTTCTTCATATTTTTAACGCGGATTTTGTGTTTCTGTTTGATTTTAATGAACAGTTTCTTGCTCCAGTCCCAGGCAGCAGTTCTGCTGGAAGACTTTTTCAGACAAAGATCCCATTTTGCGGCGCATTGCAACCTTCCCTTATCGCGTCGTGAGGGGTAGTCAGATTGTACTAAATTATGTCCAAGCGAGCCTCCCCCCTCCTCTAACCCACCCCTCCTCTTCGGATCCGTGGATTAAGAGATTAAAGTGGACCACTGGGCAATGCATCCCCTTTCCCCCCTCATATTACCCGCATGATAATTGCCCAAACTGATTTGCACTTCCACAAAAGCCTTGCACAGGGGGCCTCTTTGTAGCTGCAGCGCAGCAGACTCTGCAGCCGCCCCCCGAAAAATAAAACCAGCGCAGTCAGTCTGAAGACGCGCTGCAGCATCCCGCTTCCAAAATGGAGAGAAAAAAAAAAAAAAAACCTCTCGCTGCGCCAAATTATTGCGCATTTTTCCCGATTTCCTCATCAGAAGCCTCATTTACTGCGGCTGCGCGGTTTTAATTAAAAGTCATCCAATTGTACTGCGCGCGACATACTGATAAAACTTTATTGACAAAATATTGACAATTACATACTTCTTGGAAGTATACTTTGTGTTAAAATTGTAGCAAACTTAACACAAACACAAAAAATATTTACATTCTGTAAAAGGGGGGGTTTGAACAGAAACAGGAACTTTTTAGCATTTCTGTACATGGAATACGTTCAGTGCCTGAAGTTTGTTTGTTTTTTCTGTTTTTTTTTTTTGTTTGTTTTTTAGTCCTTCACTGAGTCCTGACAGGAGGCTGCAGAGCGACTCGGTTCTGGTTCTGGTAAAGCTTTGGGTTGAAGGAACGTCCTGATATCTTCCCTTTCACTGCTGCGCTTTGATTCACCTTTTAGAAACAAAAATAATTAAAAAATGTTTTCTTCTTTAAAAAAAAATCAAAACACCGCTACTTCATATGTTTTCACAATCACTTTTACACGAGAATCATCAAGGAAAGACTGCACACTTTGTAGAAAGGAAGAAGCACGACATCTCTCTGCTGGAAAATAGAGTTAAAAGTGAAAAAGAAATTGAATTTTCTTCTTTTTTCCCTCTTTAGTCAAATTAAAAGAACTATGGGGGGAAATATTAAACCATGCATTTCAAGTTTTACAAAAAAAAAAAGTAGTTTGGTGTTTTGGTTTCTTGAGTGAAAAAAAATCTTCTGAAGTGCAAACGTCCAATAAGAATTGGAGAAAATTTGAAAATTAGGTGGAGGTGTGAGGGCTCGTAGTGGTGGAGCGGGGTGGGTTCAGGTAGGCGGACTGAGGCGCAGCTTCCCGGCCCGGTTGGACCGACAGAGCCGCTCCGTGCAGCAGGACCAGCCTCGGCCTCCGTTTCTCCTCCATCTGACCCTCCGACAGTCTCTGCCCCGCATCCTGTATCCTTATCCTCCTTCATTCAGACAATTCTGAGAAAGTCAGTCCCATTTTGGATTTTTCTTTTTCTTTTTTTTAATCGTCCGAAGTGACATCAATTTCCTCCGGGCTCGCCTGTTTGGTCGCCAGCCTCCAGCGGTTTATGTGATGCGAGCCTTTCTTCTTCTGCTGAGACTCCGAGCCCTCCTCCTCCAACTTCTGCCGCTTGAACTTCGTCCTTCGGTTCTGAAACCACACTTTTACCTGAGCAGGAGCGGGACAAAAGAGGGAGACAGAAAACAAGCCGGATCAGTGTCAGGAGATAAACCTGCGATTGGTCCGTGAGTAAAAAGGAGAGCAAAGAGGTAAAAATGCGCTTAAATTTCAAGGAAAGATTAAATTACCAAATTATAACAAAGAGCAAAATAAATATAAATACATCATGCATGATGATACTCCTCACAGTGACATTTTTATTATCGGTAAAAACGTGTATCTGATGTCAACACATTCTTCTAAATGGATTTGTCAATAATCAATACCGACGTCTAAATCGATAAATTATCCGCTGCTTTGCTTTGTCACTCCTAAATGGCCGCTGAGGTGCGTTTAATAAACCTTCAGAGGGGCTAATTGAAGGAGGTGACGGTTCATTTCTCCCCTCGGCTCCAGCGGACAAAAGACGGCGGCCTGATGGGCTCAAACAGCGGCTTAAACATAGCAGCGCCTCGCTCTTTGTGTCCACTATCCCATAAAATGGTTAACTGGTTAATTTGCCCTCCATTTTGAAAGGCAACATTCTCTCATCCATAGCCCCTCCACCTCCCCAAAACAAAGTAATCCAAGCCCTTCTGAAATGAGGTTAGGGCCTACACAATGACCGGCAGAAAGCCCCCACCCACCACCGCTGTCCTCGGTTGACAACACGCATTTACGGACCCCGGTCTGCAGAAACAATTTGCGGGGTTGATCGGTGGGAATGATTGTTTTTCAAATGTCAACAGCCATCTTTAGATCCGTGCGTAAATATTGAGTACTGGTAAATTATAATTATAATAATAGTGACAATAAAAACAATAATAATAAAAGCACCGTGACGCACGGTGAAAATATATGAACGTCTCATGTGATACTCATCAGGAATCAGGTGAGACATGAATAAATAAACGTGACATTAAGCAGCAGGTTTATGCGCAAAAAACGGATTAAAAGCAGAAACGGGCGCGACTGTTTGTCATTCACAAATAATAACAACAACAATAATAATAAAAAAATAAAGCTCGTAAAAATGGAGGAGTTTTTCTTTTACCTGAGTTTCTGTGAGGCTAAGGCTGTGGGCGAGCTGCTTCCTCTCCGCTCCCACCACATAATGGTTCTTCTCGAACGCGTGTTCGAGCCGGAGGAGCTGCGAGGGGGAAAAAGCTGTCCGGATTCTTTTGGGCTTTCTGGCCAGCGCGTTGTGCAAAAGGAAGCTCTCTGGACTCGTTTCGTTGCCTGAAAACGAGCAGAAAACGAGGATCCTGGGTGATTTTTTTAAATGACTGAATTCACATGTTTGCATAAACAAAAGGCCTGAGCTCACAGGAACACTGGAAGTGTTGGATAATAGTTTATTATTTGGAGATTATGGCGTAAAAGCATATAATTTAACTGAAATATGTGTTTAAAACGTTTGATTGTCCTCATGCAACTCTACAGGAGGATACAATTATGGTCTTATTTATTTGAACAAAGAGAAACAAAATCGGAATTATCTACAGCGAATTTATCACATGTGTAAGTCGCCACTATAATATAAAATGTGTTGAGAAAAAAAATCAAATAAGTGTAAAACCAGCTGAAAGTGATCAAGTAAAAACAAATAAAATTAAAATAAACATAAAAATACAAAATAAAAACGCCGTCTGAGTCAACTGACTCAATGCAAAGCATCATAAACAAAAATCAAAATTATTTTTGCTAATTATTATTTATTAATTCTTATGTAATTAAAATTAAGGAATTTTAATATATATATATATATATATATATATATATAT